GCCCAGGACGACCCCGGTCCCAGGACTAACTCTGAAATGGTTCACTTCCGATAAAAGTCGAAGGTACTTTCCTTGTTGGGATTTATTTTGGTGGAACGATAAAGTTTCGGGCGGAAGGGTCAGCGTGTCCCTGGTGATGCGCCAGACAACTCACCACCGCCCCAAAACCCTTCCTGCCCTAGGGACCGTCTTACCCCGCACCCATTGGGACATCTTAGGGTGCAGAAGGCGGTAAGGCCCTTAGGCCGGTTTTGCGCCCGCTAAAGGGTTACCTCCTCTTAGCGCGCACTTCAGCCGATGCCTGAGCATCGGAAGCAACCGCATGGCTTAGAATAGGCCATTCGGGTATGGGCACCACATAATGCGCCGTCATCGCAGTTACCCACGTAGCGCTGCATAGTGAATTGGTATGCATGGATCCTACGTTCGATCGATCTTATACTAAACCTCGTGTACGCCAGTTACCGACTTCCACTGCGCAAAGGTATGGGTTGGATAAAAAAAAAAAAAAGGGGACTAGGAGAGTGTCGTGTTGTACTTCCTTCGTGTCGTTCAGTACCCGTGTGCGTGTGTGCGCGTGCTTGACTTTTGTCTACCTTGTAGTGGTGTGTGCGTGGCGCGTGGGATGCGTCCTAGTCGATCGGCGACGAGCCGCGCTTGGGACCTCAACCCCCCAAGATGTCGGTTCGCGTGCGGGTCCGATAGAGGCGTAGTACCGCGCGTACCCCTTATGCTACAACGAACGAGAAACACCCTTGGCTGGTCCATCTCTGCGATTGCAACGGATCAGCTTTCGTACTGTGGACTAGTAGTTTGGTGGGGATACGCCCACCGAAGGGAGGTGACAACTCCCGTAAGGTGGAGGTAGTCGTGCCTCACGTAGGCCCTGTCCTGTCGTAGGGGCTCGCGAGGGGTATGGCTGGCGCACCCGGCCGGAGTGGCTTACGAAAACTCCATGTGCATATCGCAAAGAGGATGTGTATTCTGACTCCTGCGTGACGCGGTCGGGAGGGTCCCGAACTACCCCTGAGTGGTGCCGAACTGGGTGCGCTCGACGGGTGGCGCCGTTGTCGGGGACGACGGTTGCCTGCCGTTGTCCTTGGTGGAACGACATCCGGGCATTAGGATAACGAAGACATCAGGCATGAGTTGGAGATTTGAAGTGGGTCTATAAGTAGGGCTATAGGAGAGATTGCATGACTATAGTAACTATGTGGGAAAACTCACAACCTAGGTAGACCTTGTGAACGTAGGTCTGGGAACGAAAGGGACGTGGGTGTTTGTTAGAGTCTGAAACGCCCAAGGGCTAAGTGGTTAGCTCGATAGGCCTATGCTCGAGTGAGAGTGCTGAATAAAGTTGCCTTTGTACCTCGTCTTACTACAGGGAAGTTAAGTGAAGGACAGACTGCTAAAATGACAGGCGGCATAGGCGACAGTTCAGGCAAGGTCCTGACCCTCGATGATCTCATCGAGGCGATGGACAAGCGGGAGAGAACGCTGAGAAGTGTCCCCAAAGTTGACACCTTCCACTTCAAAGGGGAACGGGTCTCTGAGTGGCTGGACCTAGTGGAGCAAGCCTTGGTGGGAGTACTAGACGAGATAAAATTCAAATGCATCCTGCAATATGTGCTCCATAAGCACCATGAGGAAGTGTAGAAGGTGGTCGACGACGCTGACGACGACTGGGCTAAATTTAGGGAAGGGATGCAACGGAAGTACAGGCTGGGCGATGGCCTGCTGACTATGGCGGACCTAGGGGCAATGAATAGGGACGACTTCACCACCATTGGGGCATTCCTGCAAGAATTCAAAAAGAAGGCGAGAAAGGTACATGGGATATCAGAGGAGGCGCAGTGCGCCGTCTTCCTGGGACTACTCACCGCATCTGAGACAGTTGAGCTAACAAGCTATGGGGGAGGAAATGCCAGACTTACCTGGGCCGCCATTGACAGAGGAGTGGAGGTCGGGAGCCTCGACCAGGTTGAGCAGCACCAAGTGAGGCTGCAAAGGCAGAAGAGGAAGGAAAGGGATGCGGCTGGGACGCCAGGAGTAAAGAAGATCATAACCGACGTGCTAGCAGGGCTAGACCCGGTGATACGGCGGAAGGTGATGGTGGTAGTCAAGGAAAAGGGCAAGGGGGCCACGGTGGAGGAGGCTACCTAGGAAGGATGGGAAGAGGAGGAGCCGGTACCTCCATACCTTACGAAGGCGCAGCGTAAGCAGCGCAATCTAGCACAAGGCGGACAAGGGTCAGGAAAGGGCCAGGCGCCCCAAGTAGTGGTAGCGGCATCTCCGGGTTCGTCCGGGCCATCAAGTAGTGCGGGCCCGTCACAAGCACCAGTGCCACCATTTGGGCATTGGCCGTGGCCTCTGATTAACATCTATGTACCCTGGGGTGGCCCAGCGCCGTCTGGACAGGTAATACCCTACGCTGGGCCCCAAACAAGTATGCCACCCCCGAGCTACCCCTCCGGCTAGACCCAGCCAGCGGTACCACCTACGCCGACGCCCACACAAAGTTCACAAGGCAGTGTGGCGGGTGGTGGTAGTCATGGCCAAGGGAACCAAGGGAATGGAGGAAGGGGCGGTGGCCGAGGAGGCCAGTGAGGCAACCAAGGTGGCCGAGGAGGCCAATGGGGCAACCAAGGTGGCCAAGGCAATCAAGGCGGCCAAGACAACCAAGGGAATCAAGGTGGTGGAAGGGCCCGTTTTGACTGGAGAAGTGCTATATGCCAGCACTGTGAGCAGGAGGGCCACACTATAAGGTTTTGCAACATACGGAGAGAGAACGAGAAAAATGGACTGATTTATTCTAATATGGATGGGNACGAGAAAAATGGACTGATTTATTCTAATATGGATGGGGACATTTACGACCAATTTGGAGATTTTATTGATAGGAAGGCTGGTGGGGTTAGGGCGGAGGCCCAATGAAGGTTGGCAGCACGACAGCCACCCCCTGCCACGTTCAGGCTATGGCAGGAGAAGGAGGAACTGCCAGTTGGAGTTGAGGAAGTAGTAAGTGACGAGGAAGTAACCCAGAGGCTACAGACCGGGGATGTAAGAGAGAGGCCCATAATCATCGAGTCGGACGATGAGGGTGGCAATGAAGAGGTAGAGTCGGCGGTAATCCTGCTGAATAAGATGGAGGACTTATTGGACAAGGTAAGGAGATACCAACGAAAGTTGGTAGATCTCTACGAGGGAATGAAGGAGTGGAGGGCTAACCTCCCCAAGGTCTTCCTTTATGACTCTGGTCCAGAATCCATGCCAGGGCGACCCGGAGTGACCACTGTGGGGACGGGCCCGCGATCAGGGATGATGACTAGGCCCCCTACCCCGCAAACTAGGGTGGCTCAGGCAGCCCGCACTCGAGTTCAAGCCAAGGCAGGTGCGAGTCAAGAACCTCCTCGGAAGGAACCGGAACCAGAAAAGAGGAGGGAAACTGTGGAGGTAGAAGATGATGATTATAATGAAGAGGAAGATGACCGGTTATGTCAGGAATAAGATTAGAGGGCCGAAGAGCGAGCCAAGAAAAGAGAAAGTCGGGGAGAGGCCGGACCGGTTATGCGAGACGTACCACCAAAGAGGAAGAAGTACGCGGTTCGGCTAGAGGAGGGATTTGATGTAGAGGGAGTAATTGACAGGCTGCTTGAGGGCCATAATGATTTAATGACCCTCAAGGAGATCCTGGTTTCCACGCCAAGGCTCCGAAATGAGCTGAAGGGTAGACTCTGAAGGCGGCTGGTACCAAATGTTCACCTTAGCGTGATCCTGCCCAAGGAGATGGAATAGGCGGAGCCAGGGACGAAAATGGACTGGAAGTGTGTAGCTTGTGGCGTGGTGGACTTAGCGGTAAAGGGCTCTAAATGCACAGCCATGGTGGATACGGGCGCTGAGATGAATATCATTCGAGAAGCCGACACCATCAAGTTTGGGTTAGAGGTAGACCGTTCGGATTGTGGCATCCTGCACGGGGCCAATAACAAGGCCGTATTTTGCGGAACAGCCTCGAATGTGCTACTGGAGATTGGCAGGGTGAAAGCGCGGGCCTGTTTCTTTGTGATGCCCGATGTGGACCATTGTATTCTCCTGGGGAGGTCCTTCCTATGCAGGACAGAAACCTTGATGTATAATAAGCATGATGGGTCATTGATCTTGATTTTATGTGATCCAGCATGCGGGAATTACGAAGTGATTACCTGCCGGAACACTCGGCCAAGGAGCCTAAGGAACAGGCCCAACCCTGGCTCGTTCACGATTGAGGAGTCAGAAGACGCGCATCGGAGGCTTATGGCAGAGCCCGAGGAGGAAGTAGAAGGTAAAGCCTTCTCGCTCAGCCTGTCGGATGTGGGAAAGACCATGGATATAGTGGCCACGCACGAGATGACCGATCCGGATGCCATTCAGGCGTTGAGGGAGCAGGTTCTGGAGTATCCCAAAGTAGGGGAAATGGAGCTGGTCTATCGGCTTCCTAAGGGGGGAATGGATCTGGCGGTGGCACAGGCACAGGCACGAGCGGCAAGTCAGCCCTTTTTAGGGGCCGGCTCAAGCAGGGTGTCCAAAGGCGGTACAAAACGATAGACAAAAAGTGTCGCCCAGTTCCCGTTGTGGTTACGGAAGACGAGGAGGTGTACTACGAACGGGAGCGAGCGTTGATACGGCGGATGAGGGAAAACGCGTCAGAAGGACCATGTCGTATCAATGAGGAAAACGAAGGAAAGTTGATAGTGGGAAAACCGGACTTCCTACTACTGCGGGAAAGAGCCCTGATGGTGGAGTTGATGAAGAAAAGACATCGCGCCTATGCGTTCAAAGACGAGGAGCGTGGCAGGTTGGATGAGGAAAAGATTCCAATGATCCGCATCCATACCGTGCCGCACGAGCCATGGAATCTAAGAGGGGCACGATACCCAAATCCGAACGAAGAGAAGAAGGTAGTGGACTATCTCGATGGCAAAATACGTACGCACATCGCCGACTACTCAAGCGGACCCTACGCATCCCCGTGATTTTGTTTTATTAAGCCTAATGGGACACTAAGGTGGGTACAGGACTTGCAGAGACAGAATGTGGTGACCGTGCAGGATGCAGGTGGGCTACCAAATGCTGATGCACTGTCGGAATCGTGTGCTAGGAGGCCGATAATTTCACTTATTGACCTCTATTCCGGATATGACCAATTTCCGGTCTACCCACCGGACCGACCAGTGACGGTTATGCACATGCCTCGAGGGCTTATCCACATGAATGTGGCTCCACAAGGGTGGACGAATGCGGTGGCAATGGTCCAGAGGAATATGATCCGGGTCATGCAGACAGTTAGTCCGTACATCACGCAGCCGTACATCGATGACCTGGCAGTGAAAGGGCCGCGAAAAACGGAAAACGATGAGGTCCTGCCTGGAGTAAGGCGGTTTGTTTGGAGGCACGTTCAGGACCTTGATAAAGTCTTGGGCTTGCTTGAGCAGTACAACCTTACGGCCAGCGGGCCCAAGTCTAAGCACTGTATGAGGGAAGCGACTATCTTGGGATTCGTCTGTAATGAGAACGATCGGCGGTCCGACGTTAAGAAGACGGATAAGATAGTTGAGTGGCCGGTGCCATTCCGTTCTGTAACACATGTAAGGAGCTTCCTAGGTACGTGTGGGTTCTGGAGGTCCTTCATCAAGAACTTTGCAGCAAAGATAGAGCAATTAAGGAAGCTGGTCCGGCAGGATCAGGAGTGGACCTGGGGTGAGGATCCGGAAGAGGTTGTGACCAACATGAAGGAGGAGTTCCGGGAAGGGGGGTTGGTGCTGGGAGCGCCCGATTATGACACTACGGAGGCGAGACCATTCATTGTGGAGACCGATGCAGGACCGACGACTTTGGGTGGAGTTCTAATCCAAGCAGACATCAAAGGGAAGGAGAGACCGCTGCGTTTTGAGAGTCGCACGTTGTGTACGTCAGAAAGAAACTACTCCCAATTTAAGAGGGAGACTCTCGCCGTCCTTCATTGCCTGCGGATTTTTCGAAACTACATCTTCGGCAGGAGGTTCATCTTAAGGGTAGACCCGACGGCTCTGGCTTTCTCCCTGAGGAAGTATGTTCCGTCCGATCCAACAGTTGCCAGGTGGTTGACATACATCTGGATGTTCAACTTCGAGTTGGAACGGATCCCAGGGAACAAGAACATGGCAGATGGACTAAGTCGCATCAATTGCGATAGGCAGGACGGGGAAGCTGTAGAGGACACGCCCCCAGTTGATGGCTTTCTGTACCAGGACGAGGACATCCACCTCCACATCAATAAGTGGTCCCCACGAGTCCCCAACTGCGTTGGCCATCCTATCTGGCATGCGCCTAACGGGTATGAGCGGAGAGCTGAGTTGGTGCTCAAGCCTTTTGAAGAAGAGGATCCCTGGGGTGGTAAGGACGTCCAATGGATGACCAAGTTGGCACTCACAGGTAGCCATTGTATGGTGGATGAGGTGCTGACGATAGAGGAGGGCCCGTATAAGGGAAAACATCACTAGAAATTAATGAGAGGGATGTACCTCCTCGTCAATGCGCTTCTGCAGGAGACCCTTAATCGGGAAAGCTCACTAAATCTGGCCGAAGGAAGAGATACTGCGTTGGAGACCCAGAATGACGAGTTTGAAGAGGGAGAGATCAAGGAGGCATTCAGTGCAGAGGAGTATGATGGGATTTACCTAGAGCTGGGACTTCTCTTATCCTGCGAGATGCATGATAGAGACGCAAGCCATAGGGCGCAGATGATGAGGGACCGCTACCTAGTAAGGGACGGTCATCTCTTCGTAAGAAGGAAAGTAGGGAACCCCAGACGGGTGGTATGTGGTCGCAACCGTCAGATCGACGTCATAGCGGCGCTTCATGATGGCATTGCAGGCGGACACCAGGGAATTACTGCCACATATGGCAAAATAAGTGAGTTATACTATTGGGACGGGATGATGGAGATGGTTGGGAAATTCTGCCAGTCTTGTGTGCCGTACCAGGAGCAGTCTCGCCTAAGGCCACGGGAGCCACTGCATCCAAGGCTGGAGAGAGAGGTTGGGGCCGTAGTACACCTCGACTTATTGTTCATGCCCCTTGGGGACCATGGCTACAATTACATCTTCGATGCGCACGACAACTTGTCTGGCTTCGTAGATGGACGGGCAATCCGTACGAAGACTGGGCCAGTTCTGGTCAGCTGCATCGAAGAGTATTACCTACGCTACCCGTTCGTTAGAGAGTTCGTAATGGACAGGGGATCGGAGTTCACCTGTCAGGAGGTGCAAGAGCAACTGTCAAGATATGGGGTAGTGGCTAACTACACCACGGCCGCCCACCCACAGGCAAATGCTATGGTGGAAAAAGGGTCATAGTACCATTACGGCTCTACTAGCAAAATGGACCGAAGGTAAGCCTTGCCAGTGGTCGAGGTATCTGAGAGCCGCCTTCTTCGTTGAGAACATCACAGTGAAGAGGACCACTGAGTACGCGCCGGCCACACTGTGGTATGAAAGACATGCTACCTTTCCAATCGAGAGTTTCCTAAAGACTTGGAGGCGTCAGGACTTGGACGTAAATCTGTCTTTCGAAGAATTGCTCGATATCCGAGCCCGGCAGGTGGGCGCGATTGAGGAAAGGGTCCGAGAGGCATCCGACCAGGTAGAGAGGAGCCGTATGGACGATAAGGCTCGCTGGGACCAGTCGGCTCGTGTAAGAAAGGTACCGTTGGTACTTAGGGACGTCGTGCTCTTGTATGATTCATCCCTGGAAAAGCAATGGTCCAGGAAGCTGGACAAGAGGTGGTTAGGTCCCTATCGGATCGTGCGATGCGGAGAGTTCGGCGCATACCAGATCGAGGAGCTGAATRAAACAGAGTGGAAAGACTGGGTGTCAGGGACGAGGTTGAAGAAATTCGTGGTCAGAGAAGAGGTGAGATAGGCAACCCAGCTCCCTTAGAATGGAATAGTCTAAGATGGGTTTGTAGATTAGGAGGGTTGCTTGAGGCATGTGCTTGGCTTGGCCTGAGTCTGCTTGCTTGTCGCCTGTTTGCTTACCCCGACGCGTGCCTGTTGTCTCCTTCGCCGGTTGTGCAGGACTGACTTGCAACCATGCCAAGAGGAGGGAGGGGGACGTGGCCACCACGACGGCCGGCAGGAGCATCAGGAGGACATGGACGGCATGGGCCTTACCGTCGAGCAAGCACTCCAGTTTATAATGATGGGGATATCAAGTTATTCATGGACGAGTTCTGGGGCCACGCTGACCATATGGGGTGGACTGTGACTCAGACGATCGAGAGGTTGAGGGGAGTTGGCAGGTTTATGGAGCCCATCGCATAGATTCGCAGGGAGGCTCAATCGAGGTCGGAAGTGGGGGCGCGGATGCCGGAACTGCGACCATCGCCTGTGGGGCTTGATGGTAGACCTATTCGGCTAGAGATTGGGAATGCAGAGGAGTTCATCCCAGCATTCGAGCAATTCATGCAGAACTAGGGAATATAGCGAAGCGAGTGGATGACGACGTTACCCCTGTGGACCGGACAAGCGGAAAGACCTTTGGCCAGACAGATCAGGGACGTGGCCCGAGATTGGGATGGTTGTAGAGCGCACTTGAGGGCGGCATTCCGGCAGCCAGAACCACCTCAGCCTAGAGTCGAAAGGTGCCTCAGGAGCGGTATGCAGAGGGAACTTGAGCCCGCTGAGGACCGAACCTCGCGGAGAGGACGAAAGGCGCTTGCTAGGCGGGAAGAGGAGGACGTGCTTGAGGCAGAACGACAGGAGGAGCACCCCGAGGGTGGACTGGGGCCAGTAGAGTTCCACCGCTATACTGGAGGAGGACTGGGGGAAACGCCACAGCATATACAGGAAGAGATACTGACCGTTGAAGGGTCATTGCAAGCATTGGAGGCACATCTGGACGCCGCCCAATGGAGAGAGCCACCAATGAGTGAGAGGTGTGTAGAGGCCAGTGAGGAGGTACCACGAGGGGACGTTCCAGACCCTGAACATGAGAAGGGGCCTAGCACTATGGGATGCCTGGTGGTGGAGGAAATTATAGAAGTTGAGGAAGACACTCCCCCTAGCGAACCTGCCGTGGGACTGAGACTTGGTAGTCCTCACGGGAGTCCGCCTGATACGAGGAGGGAGGTACAAAGGTAGGGAGTCTCGATCATGGTGCCAGAGACAGCCCTATCGCCGACGGGAATGGAGGCAGGTGAGGCGGAGGGGGCCAGTTTGAGGAGGAAAGCAGACAGTCTTGTTTAATAGCCATCTGGCTTCCCACGCTCTGGAGCAGCCTAATCTGGAAGAGGTCATACCTGGGGAGTCACCCCGGGGACCAGGTCAGGGCGAGAGAGAGGTGGAAACAGGAATCCCAAGGGAAGTCAAACAACGCACGGTAGAGGAAATACCAGCGAAAGAAACGGTTGAGGAGAAGTGGGCTAGAGTGGCAAGACGCTAGGAGGAAATCCGGCAGGAGGGGCAAAGATTGGAAGCGGCAGGGGTACTCCCAAGTCCGCCACCGCCCTACAAACCATATGGGTTATGGGAGATGTGGGGAGAGTTTCTTGCTCGTCATGGCGAAGGGTTGACGACCCCAAGCAGGGTAGAGGTCGAAACCTCACAGAAAGCTGATGAGTATTTGGATCAGAGGATTCGCTCCGTATCCAAGACCTCCTTCGACAGGTATATGATGTTGGAGGCGGATCTGAGAGGGAAGGAAGTGAAGGAAGCAGGGCTGGAGTCACGGTTGGGGACCATTGAGGCAGAAGTCTGTGAGCTCAGGGCTCTGGTGGCTAGCCATACCGCCACCATCCTGGAATTGAAGCAGCAACTCCATGGTAGCAGGGATGGGGCGGAGAGTAGCAGGCCAGGAGGGCAGAGTCAGCAAAGACATGGCGTATCAGAGCAACCAAATATGGTTGAGCCTCAACAAGAGGCACCTATGGGAAGGATCATTTTGGAGCCTGAGGAGGCAAAGGCCAAGAGGAAGGCTGAGAGGGAAGCCTTCGAATTCAGAGCCCCTACAGAGCTTGCGGTGCTACCCACGATGGCCGCAGACCCTGCCATGCCACCGTCACTTGAGGAAAGACTGCCCTCGGCTAGTGATGAGCCCCTCCAAGGCTCGATAGGAGGATCCTTGGACGTTCTGCTGGAAGCAGTCCACACGATGCAGGAGGATGCTGGCTTGTTTTCACCAGAGTCCAAGTTGGAGGAGCCCCTGGAGAGCGAGATGGGAGGTGCAATGGAGGGCATCATCGCAGGCAGGCCCCAGGGATTGGATACTCCTGACTATGAGCCAGAGGGAGCGAGGGCGCAACCAGGGCTCAGTCTGCGAGGGTCGGAGGCAGGATCTGAGAGACCCAGAGATGTGCCTCAGTGCCATGAGTTGGACGGAGAGGCCAGGGAAACCCCATCGCCAGCAGGGCCCCAGCGGAAGAAGAAAAGGCCTAGGAAGTCTTTTGACTCGACCTGCTTCTATTGTACGAAAGGAGAGCACAGGGCATTACAATGCCTCAAATTCCTAAAGGACCAAGCAGACGGGAAGGTCTCGAAGTATGATGGGAAGATGTATGATAGGCAGGGTAGAGTAGTGGAACAGCTGTAGATGGGGGTAGAGCTCAGTTGTACAGGCAGAACCAGGAGGAGATGAGTGAGTAGGGTCTGGTTCACCTGAATAAAAACTGGATATTTCTTTGATGATTTTACTTAGGCAGGGTGGACACCTACGACGTTGAGTGTGCAGACGGGACCTACGGCATGGGATGACCGTTGCAACTAGGATCATGTAAAATAGGGAGTGTACACTAAGTTGCAATGAAATACTGAATTGTTTTGGGGATTCCCTGTACAGGTAACCATGTACTATATTTAGAGTGATATGAGTTGACTTGTGTGGATCCTGAGACAAGATTATCCAGTATAGTTTAGGATGAAATATCTCATTCCGGAGGGTATATTTGAGTTGAGTGAGGGTTGAGATTATCCCTTGTACATGACGATCACTCTCACTCTCACATGGGTGGTTTTTTCCTGATGTGTGGTGGATGTTGAATGTATGAACGACATCTTGAATGTTGTGCACCGTGCAAATGGAATGTATGTACACTGCCTACTCTTCGGTATACTTGGGCGATCTGCCCACGGGCAGGGGACAGGGCCGGGTATAAGGAGAGGAAGCGCAGTCTGTCCTTGTGAAAGTGTGAGAATCCCATGGATTTGTGAGTCCTTGAGGCTCAGATGCTTGCCATGCCAAATGCATGTTGTTGAGTTGTGATGAGAACCCATAAGTTGGTCTCTCAAGTTTGAGTTGTGCTATGGTAGGGGTGCCTGGTTTTTTAGGAGGCAACCCGCTGCATGCTGGGAGACCTATGGAGTGAGACCTCCCTCGTATGAAGGGTGGTTACCAGATCGGTGGCATGGTAAGCAAGGTTGGTATGATAAAGTCTGACGAGAAGGACCATGTTTGTTGCTTGGTCACTGTTGAGAGTTTAGAGAGGTCGCAAATAGTTTCTTTTGGGAGATGTCACTGGGATGCGTGGCTTCCTGCTCTGATCAAGTAAGGAAGTCACGACCTTGTGCAACTGGTGGTGATTCTGTTTGTAAATGTGGAGAGGTTGCCATGATCCCCTGTGTTGTCCCACAGAGGGCTGGTAAATACCTTTTATGTGTGACAGACCTCAGCGTCGTCCCGCGGTGGGCCTGTATTGTTGCGACCCACCGTCCAGCCATATGTGCTAATCCTGGAACATGTATGAGAATACGAAGCTAACGGTAGAGTTTAGCATCACTAGGGCGCAACCCCTAGTGTCGGCCGCTGATCGGCACAACCTGACCAGCGGGCCTACATCGGGCCTAGGGAGTAAAGACTTAAAGGGGTGTGGCCACCTAGGAGGGTTTTACTCCTGCGGACCAGCGTAGTATAAGGGTCGAGTCGAGTCTTTTTTGAGTCCTAATTGAATGCTTATCAGGAGAAAGCCTATCGCGGCGCAACCTGCGAGGGCACTACCGCTGAACTAACAAGCGCGGTGGGCCGTAGACCTGGCACGATCACCCAGACTACGGTGGGTCAAGATGGAGACCTAGCCTACCTGTACTAGACTGCAGGAGGTGAGTTGAGGTGATTTATATATATATATATATATATATTTGATTGTGAGAATTGTGGGAGGAAGGCGAAAACGCCTACTTAGGTCTCGGTTAGGGCCCGCGCCTTTGGTCGAAGTCCTGTTCGCAGGATAGGGGCCAAGGGCACCTAACGAGAAGCCGGCGGTTGTCTAGAACAAAGGGGAGAGGACGGGTAAGAGGGGCCGCTAAGGCTTATGCTGTAGTACGTATGTCTAGTACACCGGCGTCCTAGTGTGAGGACAATGGAGACCAAGGTTAGAACCTCGGCAACATATAGTTACAAGAGCTTGGATTGTTGGAGGCCTCAACCCTAAGTCTGTCGACTGATCGGATTGGTTCCTGTCTCGTCAGCATTTGAAGTTATGGAGGAATTTGTAGCTTTTGATTTGGCGAAGCGACGGGGACGTCGCTTAATATGGTCCGGTAAGCCTGTCGGCGCGAATACCCTGACAAGGGTATCCTCCCTTGGTTTTGCAAGTGACCGGAAGTACAAGTAGAGGTCGAAAGTGTACTGCGAGAGACGCTCCTAGGTCTGTTTGGTTACATAGGTAAGTTGCTTGATTAGAGTAGGGCGGGAGTGGGCGCGTGGGATAAGGCGCGCGTGTGATTTTTTTTACTCTGGATTATGCAGCCGGCATAATTGGCTGGCTTGACTCTGGCTACTAGAAGTAAGACGTGCCCTTGGTAGGGATAGGTGACCGTTGGTAGTCTAACGTGCGAAGTAGGGTGCGGGGCGGCCACGGCGCAAAGAGGGCAAGCCGACGTAGGAGCCTAGCAGTAGCATGCCTAATGGGAGGTAGGAATGAGGCCTGGGGGCTGCGCCGCACCTGTTCATATGGAATACCGGGCTGGCCAATACCAGGCTTGGGCTTAGCCCTATAGGTTACGGTGTCGGACTGTCACAGTGGAGATACATGGATCAAGGCTAGCAGGCAGTAAAGCGGAGCAGCGTGAAGAAGGCTGAGGGGTTGAGGGTCCTGCGGGACTATCCCCTTTGGTTTTGCTGAGGGGAGTCCAGCCACGGACCCGTAAGGGTAGGGCCAGGTGCTAACGGTCCCCCTCCCCCGTCCGGCTTTCTTTATTATTATTTACTTTTCGAGTTAAATTTTTATTTTTCTATTTTTGCTTCGTTTCCTATTTTGAATGAGGTCCTGTATCAGTGTCGGGGCCCGCAGAAAAACCCAGCGGCATCCTTCAGTGGATACACCCACGAACGGTTGGGCTGCGGTTGGGCTACCACTACCGTGGTACAGTCCTTCAGGACATCTGTCTAAAATTGGAACGAGGCAGAAAGATTAGCCTGGCCCGGCGCAAGGACGGCAGGTATAAAGGCGAAGGACAACCCGACGCCCTGGGTTGATGAGGCATGCAGTGAGTTGCCGATCGCTGCGCTCCCCCTCGACGAGCCGTTCGCTGGGCACGGTGCCAACAGGGCAGCTAGAAGGGAAGGGGACTGAGCACTGAGGGGGGATTTGGACGGGGAGTTCGTCGTGATACATTTGGAGAAGTGAGATCGGGGATGGCAGAGTGATGAGCCGTGGTGGAAGAGAGAGAGGGTGGATCAAAGAAGAGAGAGAGAGCGCAGGGGAGCGCTGCACAACGAGAGTAGAAACAACAGTAATAGAAGAATGAACCTGGACGCGGTTTCACGCCAGGTGCATTCGAAGGAGGAGGAGGAAAACGGTCGTTGAGGCTAGAAGCTATGGCGGATTGAAAGCCTACAACATGCTTACTTCCTAATGAAAGCCGGCGGGAGGAGGTGTTAATCTGAAGTTCTGAGGTAAGGCGAACCAGGCGGTGCTGCTAGAGGGAGGAAAGGACTAGTGGGTGGTGAGGCGGAAGAGAAAAGGGTGTGCGCGAATATGTCGAAAGAAGGGGGGGGGGAGAAGAAAGCTAAAAGTTGATCTAGCTCGCTCGTTTCTGAACGGAATCGAGCGAACCAGACATCAACGTTGGGGTTTTGGGGCGAGGCGAGCGCGATGGGAGTGCTAGATTTCGTGCTGAGATAACAGATTGATCGGCGCGAGCACTAGAAGTTGCGCGGTGCCTAAGTGGAGACGAGCGGGGAGGAAGGAAAAAGGGGGATACGTACCTACCCTTCTTCTCGGGGAAGGTCCATTTTGGGTTGGTGTCTTTTGACAGTACTCTTCGTTGCCGCTGGCTGGTGCCTATGGCATGCTGCGTTGTTGATTCCAGATTTGAGTGATGCAGCACTGGCTTGGGAGAAGCAGCGCTTGAGGAGAGACACACTGTCGTTGAGTGCGGCAAGGCAGCGAGAGTGTTCGGCGATGGGTCCAATATATGCACTCCTCATTTGCTAGCGGATCACCGTCAAGACACTAGCATGCATGGCTCTGGTTGAGAGGGTTGGTGAATGGGTCACACCAGTGTCGACTAGCGGAGGGAGGACTGAGGTTGGATGAATATGGTCGGTGTTTTGGGCCAGGTGCATTGGGCTGAAGACTGAAGAAGAAGACTGAAGAAGGGAGCATGAGACAGCTGAGAAGTGGGTACTTACCGAGTAAGTAGTACGCTGCTCGTCCTGTTGGATGGAGTAGCACGTACTTAGGCCTGGATTTCTACACGATTCGGAGGAAAGCGGGATGCGGGTTGAGCAAGGTCCTGAAAAAGAGGGGAAGAGGCACACTTACCGATGGGGATTCTGTGAAAGGGATGTGTATCTGTAGGCAGAACGGGAGTGAGTGGGTGGAAACGCACGACGAGGATAATCAAGAACAGTCGAAGGGAAGAGGAGTAGCAAAAGAAAATATAAAATAAAGTTAATAATAATGCGGAAGTGGGGGTGCTTTCGGCTGATCCGTCCGAGGGATCAGAGCAGTGTTCAACTTGGACTTTCATCTCCCATATTGCACATTCGAGTGTCGCCGGCATGACGACCTGCAGGCTGCTGTGAATTTGTTTCGGCTAATGCTAAACAGCACGGCACGCTGCTGTACATAGCTGCGGGTCACAGTGAAGTTCAGTGATTGATCCTTAATACTTGGGCTAGCTGCGGTGCTAGACTGAGAAACGCTGTCCCCAAAGGGGACTTCCCGTGTAGCTATCCCAAGTCTAGAGGCAGATTCCTTCCCGCCGTGCATATAACGAGTAGTGGAGGAGAGTGCGAGGCTCGTAGGGGGTGTCCGGATCATCCTTACCATGGTACAAGTCGTACTCAACGCAGTTGCCTTTGACGACGGTGCTCGTGCTCACCCGTACCGTTGGATTGCCTATAGTCATGGTTAAGCTGCTGCCGTATGTACCCACGGCCACGAAGCCCGAGCGACTCAAACTTTAGCAGCTGGTTTGTTCCACCGGGTCTTCGACTATGGTGGGTTGCTGAGTATTTTGAGGTGGCTGTCATTGCAGTCGGGTCTTAGAGTAGTTGTTACATCAGGGTCCCAAGTAGGAGCTGCGGCACCATTCCTGAGTGTTCCCCTGCGTGGAAGCACTGTGTCTCACGGGATTGACCGTACTTGGCTGTACCGGACTGGTTTCGCCTTGATTACTAGTAAAGTTATTGCGCAGGTATGTTGCTGTCTCTTCCCGCCGCCGGTACTATACTATG